TATTTTCCAGTTTTTGTATTATTTACAAAATTTTACATTTAATAAAATATCAAGTACATATAATAAATTCCAAAGAATGAGTGTCATACGCTTTCTCTTCACAATACAATTAAGATAGAAATAATAGTGAACAAATAGTAAACCATAGCTTTTCAACTTAAAAACATCTTAACCTTTAAAAATCCACAAAAATATAAAGCTGAAACAATTTGAACAATATAATAACACAGTATTAGGTTATAGCCCAAGTTTAAAATAAATAACCACAAGTTAATACTAATACAAATAAATTATTAAATACATAAACTGAGGAAAAGAGATAAATCTCTTATGTTGAAAAATACCAAATAATTTATGCAGATATGCCCCTACCCCCACTGTAAGATGGCACATAACCCTATAAATAACCCTGGTCAATGCTTTTAATAGCACAGTGTGGAATAGGGCAAAAGAGTAACTTCACATGTAGAAACCTGGCAAATGCTATTTTAAGCAAGTGATCAAGGTAAACACTCTAAATAAGTTATGTCACTAGCATGTACCTTTGATGTGATGTGTTGAATATGTTACTTTATCATCTGTCAAAAACTCAGAACCCCAGTTGAACCATGTGAAAACATCAGACAAATCCAAATTGACAAACATTCTACAAAACACTGGAATCATACTCTTTAAAATTGTCAAAGTGATCAAAACAAGGAAAGTCTGACAAATCATGAAAACATAGGAAGCCTAAGGAACTATAACAATTCAATATAATGTGAAATCATGGGGCAGGAAAATGTAGATTTAAAACTAAGGAAATATGAAAAAGTATGTTGGCAAATGACATCATATTGATAATGGTTCATAGGTTTTCATGATCTTTGCAACTTTTCTGTAAACTGAAAAACATTCTAAAATAAAATGTATATTTTTAAAACTCTATAAACTTGTAATAAAATAAAAATTGTATAAAATTCACAACATTCTTAGTGAAAATTAGGTAGCATTTGGAACAAAATGATTATGAAAATTCTACATTTCAAAATTTATGGAATTTAGCTAAAGCAGTAATTAAAGAAAAGTGTAAAGTCTTAAATATTTGTACTAGAATAGAAGGAAGTTCGGAACTTTACTAGCTGAGTATCTAACTTGAGAGGTTAGGCAAAGGTCAGCATAATAAACTGTGGTAAAGTAAAGAAGGAAATAACAAAGGTAAGAACAGTAATTATTGAAATAGAAAACAATGATATCAGAAAGGAAAAGCATAGACAAAAACTAATTCTTTGAAAAGACATAAGAATTCCCAAGATTGAGCTGGAAAAACAGGGAGAGACTTAAATAAACAATAATAGAAATAAAAAGAAGACATAGCTAATGACACAGCAAAGATTTTTTGAAAGGTAAAATATAATGAAAAGCTTATGCCAATATACTTAAAAATCTAAATAAAATGGATGGATTTCCTGAACAATATAAATTATAATAACTGAGTCAAGAAGACAGAAAGCAGAAGTGGTTTTATAAAATAAAGATTCAAATTTTTAAGCAACAGACAACTCCATACACCAAATCTTCTAAAGAATAGAGGAGGGAGCTACTTCTCCCAACTAATTTTAGAGGCTCATATAACCAGCATAAAAAAACAAATAAAAAATAGGGATGTCTTGACAAGGGAATCAGACAAGCCATCATTCTTAAACATTTATGCAAAATATCTATGAAAAATTAGCAAATTGAATTCTTTATTGTAGAAAACAATAATAGATGATTACTAAGTTGTGTATATTCCAGGAATACAAGATTGATTCAATTTTAGAAAAATCTATTAATGTAATTCACCACATGAGCAAATTAGACAGAAAACATCATATAATTGCTTCAATGTATAAGGAGCACGCAAGAATGCTTAACACCAATTTCTTTATATTAAAAAAAATTCCTTAGTAAACCAGGAGTAGAGTATTTCTGCAACCTAAAATAAAAAAGCTCTTAGAAAAATATTAAAGAAATCATTACCCAAAGAGTAAAACACATAAGGAATTTAGGAACTTGACATATCTTCCCACTATCACCAGTTCCATTCAACATGAGACTAGAGGCTCTGTCCAAATACAATGAGTCAAAAAAAAAAAGTCAAAAAAGCAAAAACAGTTACAACAGATGTAACTGTTGGAAGAAAAACTCTTACTACTTTCAGATGAGGTCATATTCTACATTGAAATCCCAGAAGAATCTGCAGACACTTAGTTTTAGACTTGGAAGAGAGTTTTGGAAATTTTCTATATAATACCAGCTACAATTAGAAAATAGAATGCTGAGATGGTATTTATAATATCAATTAGATATAAAACACCCATGAATAATGATAAAATATATGTAAGACCTTCATAAAATATATATTGAATGACTCTAAATGCCCGGTTGAATCAAGATATATTTTATATCCATGGTTAACAATAGTTAAATTCATAACTACATCAATTCTCCATAAACTTGACTGATCTAATGTTAGTCTTATTAAATCCCTGACAGAATTTTTCACAGAACTTGACAAACATCCTAAAATTTGAGAATGCAAAGAGCCAAGAATAATCAAGGCGGGGTGGGTGGTGGAGAGTCCAGTGAACTATGGGGGAGGGCTCCAGGTATTTGGGTGGTGGGAGCAATGTGGTAACAGATCTGAAATGGTGTGAACCTGTTCCCCTAAATCATATACAGTCTTGTAGATACTGTTAATTAAGAAAAGTCAAGAGGCAGAAGGCAGAGAAAGGTCATTTTCATTCAGATATCAAGGTATTTATATAAAGATTATAGAAGGATTTTGTGATGATACTGAACCACTTTGAAAGGGACACACACACACACACACGCTCAACAGATGTCCCAGATACAGACCCACATGTACTTGGAAACTTACCTAAGGCACATGTGATATTGCACCTAGATGAATAGTGATTGATGCTGTAAAGTTGGCTTTCAGTATGGAAAACATTAAAGTAATACCTGCTTCACATCATGCAAAAACTAAATTTCAGCCTCCCTGGTGGCGCAGGTGGTTGAGCGCAGCACTATGAAGCTGTCCGCAGCCTCTGCAGTGCCGGTTCAATCCCTGCTGGCCACGAAGCAACACACATGGTGCGGCAGACCTCTCCTGTCTCGCCTGCTGCTCACCTCAGCAGTGTATTTCAGTCAGTCTGCTTGTTCTGTTCCCGCTCTGTCTCTGGTGAATCCTCTCACCCTCCCGCACATCTGGCCTGTACCCTTGTTCTTGTATAAATAAATAAATCTTTAAAAAAAACCCTAAATTTCAATCATGAAGGATGTACATGTGAAAACTGAGATTTTAAACAAGATATAAACAATATATAAGAAACAAGATATAAGAAGGTCCTTATGATGTTGAATGGGAGTATCTTAAGACCAAACACACATACAAAACCATAAGGGAAAATGCTGCTATTTTGATAATAACACTGTGATAACATTTGAATATCTTGACATAAAAACATCTAGTATCAAAATATTTCATGAAAAATCTAAAGAAGCCAAACCAGAAAGAGAGAAAATATATATGTGACACATGTAGCCATGCCTGGGGATTGAGAAAGTGTAAATAATTTTTGAAAATCAATTATAAACACACACATCGGTGGGAAAATTGGCAAAAGTCACTAGTAGGCATTTCACAGATGAGGAAAGAGAAAGAGGCATCCATAGCATGTATGGCTGCAGCTTCTTGAGGGAAGAGAGGGTCTACACAATTTGGGTTTCCTTCCACTGCCTGGCGGAGTGTCAGACGCGGCCTCTGTGACTAGGTGTTAGGTGGGTGACTTAGGAAATGGATGACAAGTTCATAGGAAAGGACTTCAAGCAATAGCAAATTTTGGGGAAAACTGAACTCTAACACAGTTTTCAGAGTGAGGCAAAAGGGGTAAGATGGGCTTCCTCTCCCTTCTCATTGAAGCTGTTTTAGTTGATTCTACTCTGCAATGCATCTCTTCCGGCCCTGAGTGTTCTGCCTCAGGACACTCCCAACTTGTCATCCTACCTTTGGTCTACCTTTCAAAGTGCCCCCGAAGCCCCTCCAGAAGGTGGACTGGAAGACTTCTTATTTTCAGTTACATCACTCCCCTGCCAAAAACCTTTCATTGTCAGCACTTAGAATTATTCTGGAATGCCAGGGCACACCACAGGGACTGGGCAATAGAAGTCTGTGCTTCTCGCTTCCTGCGATAACTTCCTAGCAAGCTCCTTGGCCTCTTGGAGACTCAGTTTAGACATTTTGTTTTGTGGCCTAATGTTGACTCCACTTTCTTTCGGTGTCAGGACGCTGAGGGCACTAAGGTTTCTGACAGAGCCCAGGCTGCAGGCAGGTGGCTTGGGTGTTTTCAGTTAAGAACCTGGTCAGTGTGGTCATGTCATTTTTTTTTAAGGTTTATTTATTGGGCCTCTCCTGGTGGCACAGCAGTTGAGCGCTGGCCTGCGAAGCTGCCGGTGGCCTCTGCAGCGCCAGTTCGATCCCCAGCCACTGGGGAAGGTCCCACATGGCGCGACAGACCTCTCCTGCCGCCTGCTGCTCCTCTCAGCAGTGTACTTCAGTCCTTCTGCCTGTTCTGCTCCCCGCTCTGGCTCTGGTGAATTCTCTCACCCTCCCGCGCTTCCTACTGTACCCAGTGCTTGTACACTTTTTTTTTTTTTAAAAAGATTTATTTATTTATGCATACACGAGCTGGGGTGCCAGCCATAGGTGCAGGGGGCAGGAGAGGGAGTTGGTGAGAGGTTTCAGCAGAGATAGAGTGGGGAACAGAACAGGCAGTTCTACTGAAATACACTGCTGAGGGGTGCAGTGTGTGAGACAGGACAGGTCTGCTGTACCATGTGGGTCAGCTCCCTGGTCAGGGATAGAACTCATGATGCAGTGGCTGCCAATAGCTTCATAGTGCTGACACTTAACCCCTCGCGTTACCAAGGAGGCATGTGGTCATGTCATTGTAAAGCCATCATAAAGCGTCTTTCTCATCACTCTGGCTTGGCTGCAGTGCTTGCGTTAGGACTTGACATGGGACCAAGTTAGGGCTCCATGTCGACACTATTATTTAAGCTCTGGGAAACTAGCTTCTCCAGCTGGGTGTTTGATAATGTGCCTGTAAGGTGAAAGAGGCCTAACACCAGGAACCTGAGGAAGGACCAACCTAAAACAAACTGAGAAATAGATCCAGAGGATATGGTCTGGTTATCGAATTCAAGGTAGGTTTGAAGTCTAACTGCAGGTTTGTTCTCTCTCTGCTTAAGCCTTTTAAGATGGTTGTTCTGTCACTTACCACCTGAAGAGTCCTGAGTCATGGATCATAGTTGTTTCTTCAGCTGCAAATCATCTTCTAAATGTAACTAATACAAGATAGGTTTCTATGATCCTTACTGGTAACAAGATTTATCAAAACATTTTTTCGATTTACCCTGTCTTCATCCTTATTACTTCCCCCAGTGGTGTCCCAACAGGACCATTCTAGGTTTCTTTCCCAAGCATGTATCTCCACCTTGTCAGTATTTTCAAGGTCATGTTCATTTCTCCCTAAAATGCGTTCTCCCACTTCATGGCTGACCAAAAGCTGGTTACACTCTAAAGCCAAACACTCCCTGGTGTATGATAGTCAGAGTCCACTCTGAGAGCCGCTGAAAGTGTGGTTGTGTCATCATAAAGCCATAATGTCCTTCCTGTGAGTGGATGACCCATTTGCTAATCCCACTAGATGGGGCCATGCAAGGGTGCGGCCCCGTCTGATTGTTACACGCCTGTGGCTAAATCCTGGCTGACAGGCGGTGATCGCAAGGTGGATGAACATCAAATGGAGCAAAAGTTTACAGCTGGCCAATTGGAATCCACAAATAAATGAAAGAGTATGGAGAACTTCTTGACCCTGAATTTATCTCGTACAGACTTTACTGGAGTCCTTCCTGCTTGAGCAGACTTCTTATTTTCAGTTTTACAAAACAGCATGGTTCCTTTTCAATTCCTAGTAACTGGCCCAGATTTGACACCTTCAAATAAAAGCATTTTTTCCCCTCCATCATTGTATCTTGCCTGTTGAAACTCTTTTTATTCATTTGACTTTTTGACTACTGCTTTAACATGTGCTCTGGGATTTTATATATATATATATATATATATATATATATGTTAGAATAATATTTATTTATTTTTTATAAGGGCAACATCGGTTTACAACACTGTATATGATTCAGAAATATAGGAACCCTCTGGGATTTTTAAGAATGGTTTACAGAAGAAACAGAGATGCATTCTCTCCATTTCAGTCTAACCAAGGGTCCATCTAGGCATTTAGAAGCTTCCCTTCTGGTTTTCTAGTTCTTTTATTTCATCATCAACGTGGATGCTGTGCTTTGAGAGAAAGGTTTCAGTTGTAGAACTTGCTTCCTGTTAATTCTTTCATTCCAGGACATTTTGGAAACAGATGTAAATATTTAAATATTATAATAAAAGTAAAATAATTATATCCAGACAACTGAAGCCAAGTGAGAATAATTTTATAAAGTGAATTTCTATTCCCTTTACAGAGAATGGGCCTCTCTACTTGCCTTTCTGCTGCATCTATTAGGTTAATTAAATAATACTGGAGCAATCTTTTGCATGGTGACTTAATGTAAACATCTAGATCACTGAGCTCCATCTCCATTCTAATAACTCATTTCACACATCTGAGTAGCAATGATCTGTAAACATAGCATCGAAAGAATGCTATATGACAGACAAAACAGAAATGTGGTCTATGACACAAATACCAGCAGCCTAAAGTATCTGATACAATACAGAAGCATATTTAGAAAACAGATTGTAGAATTATTTTTACTGGAATAATAGCTTTTTGAGAGAGTGGACTGATTCTTGGTCATTTTAATTTTATCCTCTGCCTGATGTCCACAGTAAGTAGTAAATAAACATTGGTTAAGTTGATGAACAGAAGAAATGGCATTAAGGAATACAGACTTTGGCAATAAACTGAACTTTAACAAACACACCTCTAAATACTTGAGAAATAGGAAATAACAGACGAACTTTGGGGGAAGCAAAGGGATTTGTTCCTACAGCAAATAACTTAATGTATACAGTTGCTGGAGAAAGTAATTTTTTAAAGCCCTAGATAAATAAAAAATAATAAATAAATTCAAACAAAAATTAACCACAAAATAGGAAGTCTTCAAGTTTAGCACAGTGCTTGGAAATACACCACATTTAGCACTTTCCCTCCCCAGAACCCTCCACGATGGCTGTCGGACAGCACGGTTTCTTCTCATAAAGTATCATCTGTAGTAGGTGAAGACATCTCAGAGATTTTCGTATTTGGGCAAGCAAGCATAAAAAGGGGAATTTCTAAACTCTCTTTTGGGAAACAAATATATAGATATAGGTATATAGGTATATAGGTATAGACTTAGACTTAGATATAGATATAGCTGTAGATATAGAAAGCTAGGGGGAGGGCAGGGAGATATAAAGAGACATCCATGAAGCTGTTCAGTCTGATGATGTGTCTTTGCAGACCACAAGATCAGCATTTTTCCTCAGGGTTGACTTGAAAACATCAATTGTGCATTCTAGACTTTGCTAGAGTTATAAATTAGGCAATTATTATAATGTCACTTCCAATTCTGGGAAGAAAGGAATCAAATCTCCTTCTTGCACTTCCTGGTACAGATATTTTCCAACTGTATCAGGGCCAGGGATTGAAATTGGAGCGCAAACTAAGGTAGAAACTGAGCCATCAAGTGAAACGATTGAGTACAGAAGCCAGCTCAGAATATAATGTGGCTATTTTTACCAAAAGAAATGTTCCTGAGAACATAAACCTGCTTGCATGTTAAAAGCCTTGAATTTTACAAACACCAGATGATGAGATTTTGGAAGAGGACAAATGATTTTCTTTTTCCCAAATCTGTTGGCCCTTTACTGACCCAGTTAGTTCTCGCAAACAACATTTGAAGATGAACACAGGTCCAATTGATTACTCCTACTGAGATGAGGAATTGCAAATTATTTAGTTTGGCTTTGAGATCTCACTCTACATTTGCACATTTATACCCACGTGAACCAACATTTAGAAAATTGCTTTGGTTTTAAAAATAATCTGGCAGTCAAATTTTATGGGGTTAACACGAGCAAGACTGCTTGTGTGAAGACAGACACCTGGTGGCCATTATGTAGAACTGCATCCCAGGAAAAAATCCTTTGCGGCTTCCCCCGCCCGGCTTTGCCCCTCCTGCTTTCTGGGTACTGACTGCTGTTGACGGTGGACATTCTGCAGCTGTATGAAAGTGAGTCTCAAGTTCAAGTCAAGAGATTTCCAGAACAGTTACATCAACTCCATGAAAGCTCCGGGTCACAAGGTCTCTAAATTATTTAGAAAGCCGACCGATCTAGCCTGCTAACCATTTTTGAAAGCTACTAAAATCTCTTCACCAAGAAACTGAACAGGAGTCTCAGTGTTTGGGAATAAGGTTTAATCTCCACCTAAAAACTTCTGGACTTCCTCTGTCAGGATAATGAGCTTCTGTTTTCTTTGGGGAAGAAAAAAGAAGTGTCGATTCTTTTAGTACAAAACTTTAAGTACAAAAACAAGCAGTCATTCTGAGCTTGTTGCTCTGGCCTTACCCCTGAACCAGCCCTGCCTCATGTCTAACTGCTTTTCCCCAAATTGATTTCTGCAAAACAAAAACATATAATTGAATAGAATAGAAAGTCAAATCCCTCCTTTTTGCTGTTCCCAGCTCCTGGGTTTTGTTCTTTTGAAATTTTCAGTCCAGAGAAGCTTCTGGAGCTGATAGAAAGTAGTTCCTGAACTATCTCAGGGCTGACTTGGTTTCCCATAGAGAATGAAATCAACCCTGGCCCCTCACTGGACAGCAGTAAATGGGAAGGAAGGACGTGCATCAGAAGGATGCTTTCTCCACCAGCTGGACTAAAGTATCTGATAAAGCGATTCACAATTAAGATAGAGATGCCCCTATTTCCCCTCAGGCCACCCCAGAAGTGGGCACCTCTGTCTGATATCCAATATAATGTTTAACTCCAGGCACTGCTGTACCAGAAATGGCAGATTTGCCCGGGACTGTGTGCCCAGCACTGCCCCGAGCCGTGTCTCTCCTTCTGTCCCTCTGCCAAGTGTTTCAAGCCAGTCCTGACACACACACATCATCCTATCCCTGACAGGTAGGGGGCCGAGGTCTCTGTGTTTGAGCCTAACCAAGGTCAGTCATCTTGCTTGGTGTGCATACATGCATTAGAATGTGGAAACAAAGGCCTTCTCTGATATTCAGAGTCTGGTTAGTATCATTACTTATCCTTCAAGGAAAAGTGGGAAAGGCATCAGAAATCCTCCTTTGTTACAAGAGAAAACATGTCCATGTAGGTTGATTAAAGCATCATGTCCCCTCCTCCCATCCTTAGTCACATTAGTGAGAACTTTCCACAAGGAGCAGGACCTGCCTGGAGAAGACAGTTCTCGTCACTGCTATAAGAACTACCTCAAACCAGGAGGTCTTTAAATTTCAGATATATAGCCCTCTCCCCGAAACCTATATGAGAAAATATGTCTTGGAATTCTTATTTTCTCAGATGGCACATTTGTAGTTCTGCCCATATATTGACTATAGGTAATACCTCAGTCTGCATCTGGAGTAGGGCGTCATAATTACCACATGAAGAATCTGTAATGGGTGGCCACATTAAAAGAAATAGATGAAAACTATAATTATTCTCACGATAGTTCAGATGTGGTGTGTAACCAAATCTGACATGCATGATTAAAAAAAACATGCTTATCAAATGATTTTGAATTTTAAATTGTGTAAGACAGCTCTTCACAGAGCGCAGTCCTACCCAGAGGCACCTCACTCTCTAGAATAAAATGGAACAAACTGCAAATAAAGGATTTGCTTATCAGGTAACTCTTTTCCTTTGGTCATCAAAAGTCAAGACTACCACATAGCACTATAAAATTTTTAGAACTGAATTTTTGGAGACAATTTTTATGATTCAGGTTTGGGTAAAGCATTAGGGAAAAAAAAAACAAAATTATGGCCCATAAAAGGAAAAATAGGTCTTGATCAGAATAAAATACTTTGCTCTGAAAAATCCCTATCAAAAAACCTGAAAAACTAAAGCCATAGACTGTGAGAAGATATTTCAAGTCACATATTCAATCAAGGACTTTGTTTCTTATATACAAAGA